CTAGCAGTGTCACCAGGCCCTGAGTTTCCTGGGAGCTGGTTCAGTCACTGTAGGGGAAGAGATCCAGTACACCAGCTGCTCCCGCAATTTTAGAGGAGAGAGCAGCTCCTCTCATCTTCATTTTGTATACAAAATATTGTCTGTCTTTTGAGGAGGGTTCCACTTTAAGAGAAACTAAAACCCATTGGAATATGCATGAGACTCATTAATTTATTCAATCAGTCACTCAACAAATATTATTAAATGCCTATTGCATACCAGGCCCTGTACACGAGGTTGTACTGAAAGACCATTGAAGGTTTTTGAACTGGTCAGTTGCCTGGTAGCAGGCATGCTGGGTCTTGAGTTAAAATCCTGTCTTTGCTACCCACTAATCATAAGACCTTGGGCAAGTCTCTTGGCCTCAGTGGACCCATTTTCTCATCTGTAAAGCACAGGGCTGGGCTGCTAAATCTTTCCCAGCTGAGACAGTCTAGGAGCAACATGAGAAGTGTTGTAACCAGAGTTTGTGTGTGTTGGGAGCAGGGGAAAAGAGAGGTCACAGTCATCGAGAGGTGATAATGGCAAGAGCTTCTTCAAGTCTGAGTGAAGCCTTTCATTTATTCATTCAACAAACATTCCATACTCAGTGCCAGCCACTGTGCTAAGCATTGGGAAAATTACAATAACCAAAACAAAATGTGTGCCCTTAAGGCACTGTCTGTATAGGTGGTTAGCAGAGGAACTGGGAACATGGGGGACAGATCTAGAGATGTAGTGTGAAACTTACCCCATGGGATGATAGTTGGGACAGTGGAAGTGTATGTACCAGGAAAGAGATAGCAAAACAGTATTGAGAGAGAATGAGTTCTGAGTCTCGAGATAGAACCTGGGAACATCCTGTGGAGAACCAATCAGTGTTCCACTCCTTGATAGAAAGCGCATTCTTCAAGTCAATACAACAAACCTAACTCCAGAAATATGCTCTTATGGCTAAGAAGTTAGGACACACCAAAGAGATAGGTCTATTCAGACATCCATTTCTCCTTGACTAGATCACTTCTAGGTGTGAAGCAGGATTAGACCACAGCCACATATGATATTGTGTAATAGCTGGTCTCTTTGGTTTCTTCAGAAAGATTTTCAATAAGTACCAATGATATGTATAAAATTGTACAGGTGGCTGCCTAAGTGAGCTGCCAGCCCCTCAAATCTTTTCCCAGACCAGCTGGCTCTTTTCTTTTTTCCCTTTTCCCCAAGTAATTGGAGCAGATCCAGAAACAGATCCAGAGAGCCTCAAGCTTTTCCTTTCTTACCCTTCAGTAATTACATGTCACAGGTTGCCTTCCCTGTTAGAGTCTAAAGCTGAGCAATTAGTCTCCCATTGTCTTTGCAGGAAATGACATATCAGTGTGGCTTCTGGGGAAGGCAACTGTTGACCATCCTGGTTAGAATAATTTGGAAAATGTTCAGCATTTCCTCCGGTTGATCATTTAGACTGGCTGATTTAGAAAGCTTTTGGAAATGTGCAAATGTACCATGGTTATCAGGACTGGAAGTACTATTGGGTCAGTTCCCTGAGAAAAATGAGTCTCTGAACTGTGGCTTTTGATCTCGGATGTACTGCCTTGTCCCACGTGTGACTGAGCCCAGTGCCTTGGCATTCTGTTCTTTTTATAATGCTTTGTTGGAGACTGATTAGTCAGGATGTTTTGCAGCTGCACGTAATTGAAAACCCAAGTCAAGAAGTCCTGAACAATAAGACATATATTGGAAATCCAGAGATGCCACAGACTTCAAAGCCAACCCAATGCAATAACCCACACTCTTGCTTCCCTGTTTGTTCTGTCTGTGGGCTAACTTTATCCTTATACTGGAGCAACATAGCTGTGGAAGTTCTAAGCATCACATTCCACACTACTTTCAGAAGGAGGAAGCGCCTCCCAAAAGAGTGAGTAGAAGCTTCCAGAAAAACTTTCTTCACATCTCATTGGCTTAAATTGGACCCCATGCTTACGCTTAAACCAATCACTGGCAATAGGAATGGGTATCTCTTGGATCAGTGCTGGGCCACATGCTTATACTTAAACCAATCACTGGCAGTAGGAATGGGTATCTCTTGGATCAGTGCTTCTCAGATTTCGGCATGCACGAAGATCACCTGGGGAATCTTGCGAAATCAATTCTGATTCAACTGGCTTGGGTGAGGCCTCAGCTGACAGCTCTAACAAGCTCCCAGGTGATGTGAATGTTGCAGGTTAGCACGCTGCAAAACCTTGACTGTTCCACCCCTACTCCCAGCTGAAGGTGCTGCCATGTGCTGATGGACGCTGTGGGTAAAGAAATACGGGGGCTCTGTTGGGAAGAAGAAAGAGGGAATGACCACATGCAGATGAGAACTGTGTTAGAGATGCTTGTTTTCAGTGTGTAATTTGCATTTTAACTTTAAACTGGGAGCCATACAGTACTCTGTAGTATATATTAAAAGTATAATTGTCATGTGGGAGCACCCATAAAAATTTCATTCGTTTATGGTGATACAGGCATTGCAGTTCTGGAAACAAAAAATAGTCATGCCACCTGTTTTGTTATCATTCAGCCATTTTTTATTAGTAATGAAGACTATATATCTCAAAAAGAACAAATTCAAAAAGGTGCGTCTCAAAAAGAACAAATTCAAATGAAATGGATGGAAATAGCCTTAAGTATAAAAAGAGTGTGCCAAGTCCAGCCTTTGTTCTGCGAGTGGAAATCTCATCAGTCATGGTTATTGGACTGAGAAATACCCCCTTATTTGTCCTAAGAGTCACTTGTCATGATATTGGGAGTGACCCAAATAGAGAATACCCCCCTATTTGTCCTAAGAGTCACTTGTCATGATATTGGGAGTGAAAAATGCTGCCAATGGTGAATTTCTGCCAAAGCAAACGGTCACAATGCCCTTATAAGTGGTTTTCAGTGGAGAAAGTCATGCTTTATTCATTTGAAAAGGAAGAACTGTTCTGTTATTTTGTTGTGCTTGACAAAAGATACACAGGATTCCTGAGCTGCAGCTGTTTAGGAAAAAGGCTCATAAGATGGAAGGACCAGTGTCTACCCTGAGGCTGTGCAATCACAGGCTCAGCGGGCTCAGGATGAAGTATGTGGCTAGATGCTGAGTAGACCTTCCTGAGATAGTCATTGTGGTAGTTGCTTTCCTGGACCTCACGTGCAAAGACAGCATCACCCAGGAGGGGACGTAGAATTTCACTGCTCAGTCTATTTGATCCACCTGCCTCAGAACCACGGGCTCACATCTATGGACTATGAGAAGCTGGAGCTTGATTGTGGTCTCTCGTAGATGCCAGAGCAACTGTACCTGGCCTCACCAGTGTGAGTCACCAAAGTGCCCATTGTGTGGGCTCAGGAAATCACCAGTTGTGTCTTGTCTATTCAAAGGACCTGAAAGGTTGAGAGATTACCTGCTACTCTGTGCTAGCGGGGGAAAGCTGCTAGATTTGAAGCTCCAGGAAGGCAGACTTGTGCTTGTGTCACACAGGTGCCCTGTATATTGACAGAATGATTGAACAGCTAGTCTGTTCCCAGGAGATCTGTCAGTCAACAGCATGGACTAATCGCTCACTCTCAAAAGAGAAGTGTTAAACCAGACAATATTGTGTTGCCTAACTTCAGTAATTTGTTGTCTAAATATAGATTGCTTAGGTGTCCCATCTAGGACCTCATAGGCTGCCAAGGAGCAATGAGATAATATTAACAATTACCTGAGCTCGTGTAGGACAAGCAGATTGCACCATTACCCATGGATGGACTCTTAACAGCCTTGATGAGTGCCTCCCTGCTTTGCCTGCGGTAAGGCAAGGTGTTATTAGCCGTGGAAGGAATTTTAAATTGGAGAAAAAGATAGGACCTTCCCTGACAACTTAAAAGCCTGACTTTAAAAGTAGTATATTTATTTAAAATACCTATATCAAATAAAATATTTAAAAAAAAAATAAAAAGACATAATACTGAGTTGGGAAAATAAAGATAGAAAAGGCAATGAGAAGCCAGGTGCAGTGGCTCACACCTGTAATCCCAGCACTTTGGGAAGCTGGGTGTGAGCATGAGTGCCAGGCTAACATGACTCGATGGTAAATTTGCAGGTAGTAGGGGGTGGTGGAAGATTCATCTGCTGAGGAAGGCCTGGCTGTATAGGTTGTATTTGGAAAGGATGCCTTGTGCAGCCTTGAGAGTTGGATGGGAAGAGACGAAACTGGAGGCCAGGAGACCAGTGTATGCTAGGCATGGTGCTGACCAGACAGAGTGTAACAAGAATAGGGGGAAGCAATGTGTTCCCAGCACCACTGTGGGACTCCTACGGGGCGGGGCTGAGCCGAGGTTTGCAGTGGAGGTGAGGAAGGCTGTGTCAGTTTAAAGACCTGAGGAACTGGGAGAATGATGATCACAGCTCAGGTTTACTGCATGCCAGAGGCTGTTATAAGCCCTTCCATGTCATGTATATATGTTATTTCATTGATATCATATAATCCTCGTAGCAACCCTATGAGGTCAGTACAGTCATCTCTGTTTTACACATAATAAAATAAAGCCTAGAAAAGAAAGGTTAGGAAAACTGCCCAGGGTCTCACAGCTAGCAGGCAAGAAGGGAGGATATTACTGGAAAAAAAGGAAAGCGGAATTGGTTTGGGGGATCTGCTAGGAGTTTAACTGTAGACATTTTTCCATTGTTCTCTTGTCTTCAAGTGTTTCAAAGGGCCAAACATTCAAATATTTATAAGCATAATTTCTGGTATATTTCATTGTCCGGTTTTTAAATTTTTTATTAGTGAGTGCTGAGATAATTTGTAAATTGGCTTCATCTTTGTGGGAAAAACAGAGGAAGCCGTAGGTGAAATTCAGTGCATTGATGTGCAACCAAAACAGAGGAAGAGGCTGCAGTTTACAGGAGAGAAACATAATATGTGTTCAATTATTCCTGTTTAATGACGTGGTTTTTCTTTTGTTGTGGTATTGTTTTTCAGGACCAGTCCTGCTGCTGTTTTAGAAGACATGTGGTGTATATAAAGTTTGTGATCATTGGCGGAAATTTTGGTAAGTGTTGCTACATTGACTTCAAATGTCTCTTGTTGTAAAATGGTGCTAGGGAAGGGAAGCTATTGCCTGGTTCTGTGCGTCTTTTACTTCTGCACTGAACTCAGGCAGAATGGAATTTTATAATTAAATGTGACATTGAATTGATGTTTTCTGACAGTATGGCACTTTCTCTTGTTATTGCTGATCGTATTAAGCAATATGGAGTTTTCTAAAACGTAGTAAGTCTAGATTTAGGAAAGTTTCTGGATGCAGGTTAAAGAACACCCTTCACAGTTTATGTGCTAAGCCAGCCATGTAACATAAGAGTAATAAACTTTCAGACCAAAAGAATAAAGTCTCCAAAGCAAAGGGATCCTTGTGACCCATATATTAAAAGAAAGAAAAGCAGGCAGCCTAGGAAATGGGAAATTAAAGGAAGCTATGAGTCCAGCTTGCCTGATAGCCACCCCACAGACCAGCATAACAGTAGTCTTGGGAGACCAAGAACATTCAATTCAGCAATCACCCAGACCTTGCTGGCAGGTAAAGAGGACAGTCTTTGGGATCAGGAGACCTGGGTTAAAATGTAAGTTCTGTACCTTCTGGCAGATAACCCCTCTGAGCCTGTTTCTTCTTCTGTAAAATAAGGCTTAGCATGTTACCTACCTCACAGGGTTGTTGTGAGAATAAAATGAAGTAGATAGTGCTGGAGCATAGTAAGCGCTCAATAAAGCCAGTCATTCTTGGGAACAGAGCAGCCTTATTTGAAAACTGGGCATTTCCCACTGAAGTCAAGCTACTAAGAGGCGTATTTGTCTTCCAGCAGGAGGGCTGCTGGGGATGGGCTGGTTATATGCATTTGATGTTACTAGAGCATCCCAGCACTCACCACAGCCCCTCCTCCAACATTCACTTCATAAGAACCTGTGGGATCCCCTGCAATATTTATCATCTTTTCCAGCCCTGGTGACCCATTCTTAGAAAAGCTTGGCTAATTCCCTTCCTGCCACCTTCACAACTAGTGAGGTCACCTTGTTTGAGCTCTGTTCATTTTGGAGTTAATGTCATTTCGAATCACATTTGTGAGAAAAGAAGGGTGGGGGTAGATGATACCTTTGGTTGGACCTCAATTGCCATGTTTACACTTTCATTTCCAAACCTTTCTTTTGATTTTACGTTTTTGTCAATGCTTACTACGTAGCCTTCACAGGGATCCAATTACTGGGCTGAAATTTTTGAGCTTTGACTAACAGAATTTGGCCTTTGGGTGGGGCCTTTACCTATGGTAGGGGAGACGAAGCCGTGGCATCGCAGATGGACCAGTATTTAAGGTCAGATATCGTCAGATGACCTTGCTCCCTTTTCATGGAATCAAAGAGAGGGACGTGGCGTCAAGGGTTATCTGGCCCAATCCCCTGCTACCAAAAAAATGTCTTCTACCAGATCCCTGACAAGGGAATTCAAATTCTTCCAGAGATGAGGAGCTTGCTATTGTGCAAGATACCTTGATTCAATTAAAAGGACAATTAGGGCCTACAGGGAAACCCTTGGGAAGTAGGGGGATACAATTGTTCTGTATCTTAATTGTGGTGGTATTTATGCAGTTGTATGCTTTGGTGAAAACTCACAAAACTGTACACTAGAAAGGGTGAGTTCTCCTGAATGTTAATTAAACCTGAATTTTTCAAATGCAAAGAAACAAGCATTTAAAAATTGAATAATTAGCCCAATTTGTTAAGAAGAAAGTGAGGAATGCAAAGGAGAGAGGGAGGAGGGAGGAAAGAAAAGCAATCCAGTTCTTATATTGAACTATTAATACAGTGTATGTGCTCCATAGGACAAGGACTTGGTCTTGTTCCATCCTAGAGTCTTGGTGCCTGGATAGTGCCTGGTACATAGAAGGCATAAATGTGGTATTTATTGAATCACCTACTGCTCTTAGTCACCTTCCAAGTAAGTCCACTCACTTTCTAACGCTCCAGCCCACCAAATATTTGAAGACACTGTCCTTCCTCATTCATCTTTTCTTCTCTGGGTGAACTTACCATCTCCCGTGCCTGGCCTCTTTGTCCTCTGATGCTGTGTTCACACCTCTCCCCATCTGGCAGAGCTCCATGAGGAGGCCTCTGCTTCCCCACACCTCTCCTGTGCACCTCAGCCAGCACTAGCCAATCTGCCCCACAGGTCTGGCCCAGGAGGAGCACAGAAGGTGCATTGCTTCTGTGGATGCTGTTAACAGACACCCAGTCCTCTTCCTTCACAATCAGTATGGAGTGTCTGGTAATGGACCATAAAATATTTCTTTAGTGCAGTCTTCTAAGAAAGGAGCTCCTAAAAGTAAGGAGAGTGGCAGCGCAAGAAAGAGCCCAGGCGCAGCACATCCTTTTACAGGCCTTGTCTGAAATGAAGGCAGGTCCTGGCACCCTCAGTCTGAGACAGCATGGTGCTGTTGATAAATCTTTAGAGGCAGTACTATATCACAGATTCCGACTCTTCATTACAAGTCATAGGAAGTTTGAAATTCTTGAAACAGTCCAGGCGTGGTGGCTTACGCCTGTAACCCAGCACTTTGGAAGGCGGAGGCAGGCGGATCACCTGAGGTCAGGAGTTTGAGACCAGCCTGACCAACATGAAGAAACCCCATCTCTACTAAAAATACAAAATTAGCTGGATGTGGTGGCACATGAGATTGCAGATCTCAGCTACTCCGGAGGCTGAGGCAGAAGAATTGCTTGAACCCAGGAGGCAGAGGTTGCAGGTTGCTGTGGGCCCAGATCACACCATTGTACTCCAGCCTGGGCAACAAGGGCAAAACTCCATCTCAAAAACAAAAACAAAAACAAAGAAAAACAAAAACAAACTAAAACCGGTGAGTACCTTGAAAAGCCTAGGTTTCTTTTTTCTGGCTATGCCAAGGAGAGATATATAAACACATAAATACATATAGAGAAAGCAGTGGTTCCCAATTGGGTCAGCTTTGCCCTCCCAGAGGAGGTTTGGTAATATCTGAAGCCATTTTTGGTTGTCACAACTAGGGGAGGGAGGAGGGTGTATGCTAGTGGCATCTAGTGGTTGGAAGCCAGGGATGCTGATAAATGTCTTAAAATACATATCACAGATCAGCAACACACACTCGGGCACACATGCAGGACAAGCAGGCCCGAAATCTCAGCAATACCAAGCTGACAAAACTCTGAGATTGTAAGTCGTTTTTAAAGTGTAACTGTTTAAAGTACTTATTATCTTGAAGGTTTAAAAATTGAAATATCTTAACATTTGATTATATGTAAATATACCACTAAGAAAACACAAAGACATTCGTTCAGAAAATCATCTGAGTGGAAGGGCTGCTAAGAGGTTATCTCTTCTATTACCCCTGACTCCAAGCAAAAAATGACCTATATCAATTCAGACAGACAGATGGGCCTCTGACGACTTATACGGAATGACAGTCAACTAAAGATAAAAGCAAGACTCGCACAACATGATCCCAGCATTTACACAAAAGAGATTGTCTTGTATTTTGAATTTCAACCCCAGCTTCTTCAGATGTGTTAGTCGTTCGATGACCTCTAAGATTAAACGGTATTTCAATCTGGGCTAGTCCTTCCTTTTGAATCAAGGCGGTTCTGGTGTGATGAAAATGTGCTTAGGGAGGAGAGAGATCTCATTACAGATGATTGAGATTGAGTATTTTGGTACACAGGGCTGTTTATTTGCATCAGTTTGCTAGTGACACCACAATCTGGTTTAAATGTGAGTCGCTGAGAGCTTTTTTAGCCCAATATGGCTACATTTGCTGAAACAGGGAGATTAAAGCAACACATGTCAATTTATGATACAAGACAACTCACTGCAAAAGACTTTACCTAATTATAGGGCCTATTTTGGGAGGGTAATGGTGCTTTTTGTGAAGTATATTTTAGGATGCACTCACTCGGCTTCTGGGCCAGTAATATATTCCCAGCAAGGGTGTGGTGTGTGCTTGTGGACATAAATATTTTCTTACCAAAAGCTGTGGTATGATATTCTTTCAACTTTACTACCCATCATTTTTCTTTTTCTGATAGTCTTTCCTTTTGCAAGAGTGCTATGAAAATGTATTCTGGAAAGCCAGAAAAGGTGAAGATAAAAGATCTCATTTCAGATGGCCAAGTCCAGAGATACAGAGACTTTATCAGTCTACTGTTTTTAAGATGAATGGGATTTGGAGGCATTCACGAACACTGACTAATAAGCAGAGTTGAGAGAAGTGATAGAAACACTGTGTTGGCACTAGATCTTTTTATGGAAGTATCTATGGGAAAACTATCTATTTGCAACCCTGTGTGTCCCAACCAGCACTGCCCCTGCTCCAGTCCAACCCCCTAGGTGATTCTCAGGGGCCATTTCCATGCCTTTGCTGATGGCTTATGACCTAGGGTAGGTACCTGTCTGATTTTACTTTTGTTCTTTAAGACTGCTGGCTGGGTGCGGCGGCTCACACCTGTAATCCCCGCACTTTGGGAGGCCAAAGCAGGTGGATCATGAGGTCAGGAGATGAAGACCCTTCTGGCCAACATGGTGAAACCCTTTCTCTACTAAAATACAACAAATTAGCCAGATGTGGTGGTATGCGCCTGTAGTCCCAGCTACTTGGTAGGCTGAGTCAGGGGAATCGCTTGAACCCGGGCAGTGGAGGTTGCAGTGAGCCGAGATCACACCACTGCACTCTAGCTTGGTGACAGAGCAAGATTCCATCTCCAAAGAAAAAAAAGACTGTGTCTTTCACCTGCTCTTCCTCCTCAATCCCAGCCTTTTGGTACCTCCTTCACTTCTCTGTTAATATCTAGGACTTTTGGCCTTCGAGGAGAGGTCAGAACTTTCTGTCAGTCAGCAAAATAAAATTAGCTTCTTATTTACACAATGTGTGTACAAGGGAGGAGGACCCGAGATAAAGAGTGAAAACGGACAATTTTGTAACCCAAAACCCAACCAGACCTAGGGGCTGGAGAAATGCTTTCACCTAAATTCCGAGT